CCCTAGTCATCAGTCCGGCTTCAGAGACCACCCAATATGCACAGAAATCTTTAAACGTGAGAAGTCCAGCCAGCGTATGGTGTAAGGTACAGGGCACAGGGGTAATCAAACAATCGAGCGTCACCTCCACTTTGTTACACAGGTACACACAAAAGAGGAAAGGAAAGTAGCACGAATAGGGAAAGTGAGAAACTGAGGGCTGTGGCAAGAGATAGGCTGGGGAGCTACTGAGTTCTCATCCAAGTGCCCAGATACCAAGGTGATGGGCACAGTATGAGAACAGAACAGAATCCCAGCTCCGACTCTAATTTTCTCAGGCACTTGGGCAAGTCACACCCTCCCTGCCTCAGTTTCCCCATTTTTAGAACTAGGGTATATATGGTGCATCCCTCTCCTTGCTCAGTTTTGCTGTGCTTAGACTGAAAGCTCCTCAAGGCAAGGACTGGGCTTCCTTGTCTGTTGAAAAGCGTTTAGGCCCAGATCCTCAAATATACTGTAGTTCTAGAAATGGGGAAACTGAGCCAGGGAGGTTGTGACTTGCCCAGATGCCTGGAAGTTAGCCACATAAATATCTTTTAGGATCTGGGCCTTCATACATTGTGGGTGCTACCAGAAAGAATTAATAAGTAAGTATTATTAATAAACCATGAGAAAGAAAACTCAAGAGCACTGAGTGACCAAAACTAAAAGATCAGCCAGGAAAATGTATCCATCTGCTCATCGGCTGAGAACACAGCGTGGTACTTGATCTACAATTAAATGCAGTGCTGAGAGGCTGTTTGAAACCTTTAATTAATTAAGTCCCCTCTCGCATGCCAGTGGTCAGACGCTCACACAAGCATCTGGCTCCGGTAACCTCAAACAGCCACTGAGCAGCACGATCCAAATTTTAAAGCAGCAGAACAGCTGCTCTCACACTGGGATGGAGCGAGGCATTTAACATCCTAACACCATCCTAATGGATGGCTCTGACATGCGGCCAGCTCCTAAGGAGATGCTCAGCCAGGGGCGGGTCACAGATCGCAGGCCCTCAAATCCATGCACCACTTTTTGGTGGGAGTAAAAATCCATCTTTAGGAAATGCAGGGCCCCAGTTTGAAGCAAGGGGCCCCATGCCCGCTTGCATTTTTGAACCCGGGGGTAGGAAGGCAAGCAACCAACGTTTGCGGGCCTCTCTGCAAAATGTGAGTGCCCCTCCAAACATCAAGGCCTGGATCAACCTGTCTGTTGGAGGCTGCCTGAATCTGCGCAGAGCCTGAGTTTACAACAAACTGGTTTGCATGCCCCTGCAATGCTGCCCTCTAGTGGACAGACTTGGTCCTACCCCCTTCCCAACTCTACACCCCTGCCCTGCTCATGAGTGTACCAGATCTCTCTACCAGCCTTGTGAAGAGTTACCTTTTTAGTTCACTGACGCTTGGGTTTTGGGAGTTGACAGTCACCAATTTCCTCTTTCATGCCACATGCATGTGGTTTGTGGGTGACCTTGGGGCCTGTGTAGCTGCAAAAACACCCAAACATGGCAATGCCTCTCAGAGCCTGAGTCAACTGACTTGGGTTTGCATGGCTTGTCCTACTGGGTTAAAAATAACAGAGCAGACGTTCCTGCTTGAGTTTCAGAGCCCGGGCTCCAGCCATAGGTCCTGACTCCATGGGTGCTCCACAGCTCAAGCATCCATGGAAAAAAAAACAGGGGGTCCTCAGCACCCACCATCTACAGCTGTTTGGCGGGGCCCCGGGACTGGCTACCCATCAGCGAGCGGCTTGGATGATGGGGAGGGCGGGTGGAGAGGAGCGAGCGGTGGGAGGGCAGGGGAGGGGGTGGAGCGAGGGTGGGGCCTCGGGGCAGAGCAGGGGTGGAGCCCCCACAGAGAAAAAGAAAAGAAAAGTCAGTGCCCTTGACTCCAGCCCAAACAAGAACATCTACGTTGCTATTTTTAGCCCCGTAGCGCGAGACCCGCGAGCCTGAGTCCATCGACCGAGGCTCTGAGACTCGCTGGGGTGGGTTTTGTTTTTTCTCCCATGTGGGCATACCCGAAGCGGCCGCGTGCTGCAACCTCCAGCTAGGCAGACTCTGTGTGACAAAATAAAGAGGCCTGCACTACTAGTCCGAGCTGTCTCAGTGGCTGACTGAAGTTTGACTGCAAGAGTCTTCGGTTCAATCTCACGCTTGAGGGAACTCCTCTCTTCCTTCACTAGTAAAAGAGGAAAGTCCCCCTGCTGACACATTACTTCGATAGCAGACAAGCACTGGCGAAGTCAGCGAGGAAGCTGCTAGCTGAAGCTTAAAAGGGATAATCGCGAGATATTTCGATGGGATATTAACCTCTCCAGCCAGCTGGCCCGTCAGCCACCTGCACCTGTATTAATGATTATTAGTCGGGCTCTGATCCCGCATGCACGTTTGCACATGCCACTGCAGTCAACGGGACAAGGAGACTTAAAATTAAGCATGCACATAAGCATTTGCAGGCTGGGAGCCTCGTTACTGGTGTAGTGCAACCCTGATCCAAAGAGCCGTATGTTTGGAAATAGATCGGAAGTCCCCTAGGGCTCAGCAACATCACGCCCAAGTCAGCCATTTGCGCCCTGTCCTTGTACAGCCTTTGAGTTTAACCAAATCTAAGGGGACATGAAAGTATTCTATTTAAAAATGGTCACTTGACCACAATGGTCCCCGAACAGGGCTGGTTTCTCTTCACTTCCTGCTGAAGCCAGACCCCGGCTGCATTGCCTTGGAGGAACGGGGTTATTGGCCGCAGATCCCAGATGCCGTCGCAAATGATGGAAAATTCCAGGAGACGTTCCAAGAAAATTGCTGGGAGCGGGAGCTTGCTGCCGGGGCATGAAGGCCAAAGCGAACTAGCCTGGGAGAGGAAGGTCCAAAGAGGAGCCCCAGCTGATACATCCGATGAAGTGAGCTGTAGCTCACGAAAGCTTATGCTCAAATAAATTGGTTAGTCTCTAAGGTGCCACAAGTCCTCCTTTTCTTTTTGCGAATACAGACTAACACGGCTGCTACTCTGAAAGCTGAGAGAAGATGATCTCCAAGAAGCGCAGAGCAACATTTACCTGCTCGATGTCATGGGAATCTGCCTGTGGGTCCCAGGAAGGGAACTTCCCGCACAAACGGGAAGAACGGGGCTGGAACAGACGCAGCCGTTTAGAGGCAGCACCAATCAACATAGCAACTAGGCACCGAAACCCAAGTCGGGAATCACCCTTCTGGGTGCTGCAATCAGGACACACACTGGGAAGTTGCAGCCAGGAGAGCGGTGCCCAGGTTACTCCTGTGGCTGTTCCCCACTCAGGACTTGGAACCCCCCTTCTGTCCCCTAGTGCACAACCCTACAACCGAGCCAAGCAGATTTCTGCTTCCAGACCCTTGCCCCCTGCCTGGTTTTGTTCACTGCCCTCTTCACCCTGCGCACTGCCAGGCAGTCCCCATCTGCTGCTTCCACGCCCACTGCCTGGTACCACCCAGCCCACCTGCCGCTCCCTCCACTGTCACATCTGCCTGCCCCACAATCCCCCTGCCCCAAGCTGGTGTTACCGGCTGGCCCATCACTCTGCCCAGTGCTAGCCCACTGAGTGCCTGGCATCACGTACCTTGGCTACTGCTACTCCAACACCCTCTTAGAATTCGCCTCTGATCATGCCTCCTTGTAGTGTTTGTTCCCCAAGGAACAAGGAGACAGCTTCAGTCTACCTAGCCCCCCCACCACAGTACAATCCACATCTTTCTCCTCCCCACACTTCTGTGAGGTAGGGTGGCGCTGTTATCCGGGAACAGAGGCACAGAGAGGCTAAGTGACTGGCCCAAGGTCACATGGGGAGTCTGTGGCAGAGGAGGGAACTGAACCAAGGTCAGAGGCCAATGCCTTCACCACCGGGCCAGCCTTCCTCCCACTACACCGATCCTCTTACTTGGAAAGCAGAAGGGAGGTGTAGCTCCCTGGTCAGTGTGTGTTACACATCCCACTCTGTGTCTGATCTACAGAGGACATGGGTCTTCCAAAGCTGCCAGCTAGGGGATTTGGGGTCTGATCCAACACCTGTGTAAATCAGTAGAGGCTCATGCTCCTAGCTCTAGAGGGACCAGGTTCAGTCCTGAGTAACAGTCGCTACAGAGGCACAATCCCAAAAGGCCTGGGCTCAGTGGCTCCTGCTGCCTGTTCGGAGCATGTGAGCCATACAGCTCCCATGTGAGGGTCAGACATGATACCAAAAACACCACACACCAACCCTCTACAACTCATCTTCTGGTCAAACCCAAGCTCCTCCCGAACTCCGTGCTCTCACTCCAACATGTATGGGGACCAGATTCCAGGACATGCAATGGCCTCACTCAAGCCACTAGCTATGGGACATTTAACTGCAAAACACGACAGACCATACTCCCAGACCCTTGTCAGTTTCCTCAGCAAAGTCTTACAGTGGCAATTGGCCACCATCCAAACTCTGCTAAGCACAGAATACTGCTTCCAAACTTTGGCTGGTTTGGCTCCTCATCTGCTCCAGGAAGTGACATTTACTCCGCTCATCGGCTCAAAAGCCACATTCATTCCCCCTCTGCTATGGCTCGCCCCTCACACTCGCCCCGGATGTCGCAAAATATGGGGTCACTAAATATTTACAAAAGTGACAAAGAGTCCTGTGCCACAGATCCAGACTAACACAGCTACCCCTCTGATACTAAACATTTATAAGCGCACCGGCTGAGCCAACCCTAGTTTGCAGCATCCAGCTCCTGAAATGCTCCCTCCCCCGCCCCCTAAAATGTACCATCTGCAACTTCATTGCAGGGGTCTGAAGTTGGGGGAATCAATCCACCTGGCTGCATTTGCTTTTGTTCCCAGTGGGACTGTGACACAAAACAGGCTAGCAGGGAAAGCATGAGGTTGGAGTTGGAGGGGGCTTTACTGGGAGACAGTTATTCTCAGAGCAAGCCAGAAACTTCTTAAGGAAAGTTTAAAAACAAAACAAAACCAGACACTCACCTAACTCCAGAACTGATCTGAATTAGAGACCAAATCCCTCTCGAGTGTATGGAAAGGTCAGCTAGCTAGATCCTGCGGCTTCCTTCTGGGCTCCCTCGGTTTAGCTATGAGATCCCAGGGTCAGGGAAAAACTCACACACACACCAACCCTTGCTGGGGTTTTCATTAAAGAAACTCTGCCTGATCTTTCCTGCCCCCCCCCAACCCAGTGATGTCATATCCTGAGTGTGTCCAGAAGTACAGCTGCCTTAGCAATAACTGACTCAAAAAAGAACCCGTAGCTCGCCCTGCCCCCTACGCCTCAATCTCTCTGTCTCCTGCTTCCACTCTGTGGTATGCAGCATAGCTGTAGCCAAGTTGGTCCCAGGATATTAGACAGACAAATGGATGAGGTAGTAACTTCTTTTGGACCAACTTCTGTTGATGAGAGAGAAGCTTTTGAGTTTACACAGAGCTCTCCTTCAGGTCTGGGAAATCACTCAGTGAGTCACAACTAAATACAAGGTGGAACAGGTTGTTTCACATAAGTAGTTAACATATATTTCAAGGGATCATTCAAGGTGAAGTGGCCAGTTATCATCTCTCCAGTCCTAGGGGGGTAGGAAAGCTGTGGGGGGGGGGAAGGGGGATTTAGTGGTTTACAGATTGTTGTAATAAAACATAAATCCAGTGTCTGTATTCAGTCCTCAGAGTAGCAGCCGTGTTAGTCTGTATCCGCAAAAAGAACAGGAGTACTTGTGGCATCTTAGAGACTAACAAATTTATTTGAGCATAAGCTTTTGTGAGCTACAGCATCCGATGAAGTGAGCTGTAGCTCACGAAAGCTTATGCTCAAATAAATTTTTTGTATTCAGTCCATGATTTCTAGCATCTAGCAGAGTTATGAATTTAAGCTCCCAGGCTTGCCTTTTGAAGGTGTTGTGCAGGTTTCCTTTCAGATCTTCTACAATGATCAACACCCCCCACAACACACATTTCATGATCCACTGGTCCTACGCACGTCTATCACAACTTGTGGCATATCTTATCCAGTGCACTAAATGCCCCTATAACAACTATGTAGGTAAAACAGACAGACAATCCCCACGCTCCTGAATGAAGTCACACAGAAAAATGATAAACAAAAAATCCCGTATCGCCTGTGGGTGAGCACTTATCACAAAGCGATCGTTCTATAGCTGACCTCTCAGTCCTCGTCCTCAAAGGAAACCTGCACAATTCCTTCAAAAAAGTGAGACTGGGACCTTCAATTCATTTGTTAGATGCTAAAAATCACAGCCCAAATAGACACACTAGATTTATTGCTTTTTACAACAATCTATAACCCTTTAACCCCCAACCAGCAATGACTGGAGAGGTGTTAACAGGCCTGAATGATCCCTTAGACTATGTGTTGCTCACTACCTGTGCTAAACAATCTGCTCTACCTTGTATTTAGCTGTGATGCTGGGAGTACCTTTCCCAGCCCTGAAGAAGAGCTCTGTGTAGCTCGAAAGCTTGTCTCTGTCACCAGCAGAAGTTGGTCCAATAAAAGAGATTACCTCATCTGCCTTGTGTCTCCCCTCTTTGTGCCAATACTTTTGCTATGTAGCATGTTCCTCGAGAAAGTGTAAAGCACACATCATACTTTGATGCTGCAATGTCTTCTTTGGCTGTGGGTTTTTCACTGGGCTTCCCCTAGTTGGCTCCAGTCCACAGATTTACAAAGGAATGTTACATGTGGCAATATAGCTTTCCAAATGAAAAAGTTAATTGAGGGGTGGGAGTGGAGGAGAGAGAAGGGGGAGAGAAAAAATTAGGATTTGCTTTCCCTCTGCCACTGAAAATCAGCTGGTGGATTTAGCCTTCAATGCTGGCCCAACTGTCACCAGTGTTCAGAAAAAGAGAGGTCTCTTGAGCAAACTGGCTTTAAAGTTGCTTCCTTTAAATGTCACATTTAAAACACATCTGATCCTGCAGTTTAGTGTAACTGAGCCTGACTCCAGCTATTTCTATGAGCAAGATTGGGTCTTTAAATTTGCATTTGATAAAGTTCCTTAAGGGGACCAAAACTCCTGGTATAATCTGTATTCTTGGTGGCCCCCAAAGCTGCCTCTAAATCCTATGGACATTTTACGGATGTGAGGAGTCTAGAATCAAGCCCCTGTGAGTTCTACACTGCAAGTTTCTGTACTGTGTAATTAACAACACCTTCAATTTCTGTGACAAAGGCTTTTACACATCCATTTCCTTCACTGTTTGCTCTGTAGGTTTGGGTTTTGCCTCTCTCTCTCAACTCAGCAGCTTAGCCTTTGCTTATAATCGGTTTCACCATCAGGTTGCCTTGTATTGATACAAAGCTACAGTGTTTGGGTAGCAAACGTTGCTGGGGAATATTTGCAAAAGGGGTTTTCATTGGGGGAAAAACACCATGGCAACATTTCTGTTGTTCTTAGCTTCTGTAAACCCTTATTCTATACAAGGGAGATTTAGGGCCAAGTTTGTCCACATTGTCCATTAACTATTGGCTACCTAAGCTCTGTAACAATCCTTCCCCCGCCCACCAAGATTGGCTTGTAGCTACTAACAATACCTTAGTTTTCTTAAAGGGGACCATCAACATATATGTAATCAAATCCTGCTGCTACTAGTCGCAGCTTCAGTTACTAAAATTAAAGAATGTGAAAGGTCTCATTTATTTCCCACTATTTATGGGCCTCGTTAAGCACTCAGGAGGACACACGCCTTCCTAGATAGAGTCAATGGGAATTCTGCCAGAGTGCGCTGGATGGCGTCCTAAGTTGTTACTTTACTTTTCTCTCCCTCTGCTTGGGCAATGAAGCTAAACTGGCCAGTTTAACATTTAGGACCACACAGGCTTAAACCAAAGGTCCACATTGCCAATAACTTTCCTCTGACAGGGATCAGCACCAAAGATGCTGCAGAGTTAGTTGCAAAACTCTAACAGTTTTGCAACAACAGGCTTACATGTGCATCTCCCATGTGGCAGCCCTTTATCTTGCAGGATGATGGTAGGTATAACTCATATGATTTTATCCTGGTTAGTATAAATTCAGTTGCTAGTTATTACCCATATAATTGTCCAGACTATTTTAGATCCATCTTTTTCTCTAAAATGATATCATGTAGCAGTGAGTTCCACAGGTTAATTGTTCCCAGTGTACTTCCTTTCACCTATTTTAAGTTTTAATTTCATCAGATGCCCCTTGTGAGGAAGATGTTGCCAACTGGCCTTCTCGAGACTGTTCATTATTTTATGTACCTCTGTCAGGTCACCTCCTCACTATCATGGTTTATAGAACCATAGTCGTTCTTAAACAGGAGGCATTTATTCAAGAAACCACAGGTAAAGACACAGACAAACAGGCTTCCATGTAGCTTGAGTCCCAGCTTTGTCTCCCTTGTTTACCAGCGTAGTTGTGCCCTGCCTGGAACTCTATACAGCACACAAGGTCACCTACTGTCTGAATAATATACTGCAAGAAAATGTACAGTTACTCTCACTGAAGTCTGGCTCCTCCCCAAAATTCAGGGATGCTCAGATCTGGGTAGGGTCTTGCTTTAAATCCACCTCTAAGGATATTAAAATTTCACACAGCTCTGGAAGTAAAGCAAGACAGGGGAGACTCTGATCTTGCTTCCACGGGTTTACAAAAGCAGTAACTCCACTGAAATCTCTGCAGTGTCATCACTGTGTAAAAATGGAGAGAGATGCAGATCAGCAGCCAAAGATTTCCCTTAGACAGGGACACTGCCTCCCCCTGCTCCCCAGCCTGCCTGCATCACAAGTGTTGACCCTTCTCAGCACTGTGGGCCTGGTCCGATGCCCACTGAAGTTAATAGACCCTCCACTGACATCAATGGGCTGCGGATCAGAGCTTATGGCTAGTAGTTGCCACAGGAGGTGCAGCAGTGTCATTGCCCCTATACCGGTCACATTCCGTTCTTGGTGCAGAGTGCTCCTCACCTGCCATCTCAGCCACTGGGCTGAGTAAGACAGGAGGAATGGTTAGACTGGAGGACAAGTGCTAGTAATAATAGCAGGGCTCAGATTTTCCTGGATGCGGTAGCTGATGGATTCCTTCCCCAAGTAGTTGCTGAACCAACAAGAGGGGATGCCATTTTAGATTTGGTTTTGGTGAGTAGTGAGGACCTCATAGAAGAAATGGTTGTAGGGGACAACCTGGGTTCAAGGTATCATAAGCTAATTCAGTTCAAACTAAATGGAAGGATAAACAAAACTAGATCTGTGACTAGGGTTTTTGATTTCAAAAGGGCTAACTTAAAAAAAATGAAGGAAATTAGTTAGGGAAGTGGATTGAACTGAAGAACTTGTGGATCTAAAGGCGGAGGAGGCCTGGAATTACTTCAAGTCAAGGTTGCAGAAACTATCAGAAGCCTGCATCTCAAGAAAGGGGGAAAAACTCATAGGCAGGAGTTGTAGACCAAGCTGGATGAGCAAGCATCTCAGAGAGGTGATTAAGAAAAAGCAGAAAGCCTACAAGGAGTAGAAGATGGGAGGGATCAGCAAAGAAAGCTACCTTATTGAGGTCAGAACATGTAGGGATAAAGTGAGAAAGGCCAAAAGCCATGTAGAGTTGGACCTTGCAAAGGGAATTAAAAGCAATAGTAAAAGGTTCTATAGCCATATAAATAAGAAGAAAACAAAGAAAGAAGAAGTGGGACTGCTTAACACTGAGGATGGAGTGGAGGTTAAGGATAATCTAGGAATAGCCCAATATCTAAACAAATACTTTGCCTCAGTCTTTAATGAGGAGCTTAGGGATAATGGTAGGATGAGAAATGGGAATGAGGATATGGAGGTAGATATTACTAAATCCGAGGTAGAAGCCAAACTCGAACAGCTTAATGGGACTAAGTCGGGGGGCCCAGATAATCTTCATCCAAGAATATTAAAGGAACTGGCACATGAAATTGCAAGCCCATTAGCAAGAATTTTTAATAAATCTGTAAACTCAGGGGTTGTACCGTATGATTGGAGAATTGCTAACATAGTTCCTATTTTTAAGAAAGGGAAAAAAAGTGATCCGGGTAACTACAGGCCTGTTAATTTGACATCTGTAGTATACAAGGTCTCGGAAAAAATTTTGAAGGAGAAAGTAGTTAAGGACATTGAGGTCAATGGTAATTGGGACAAAATACAACACGGTTTTACAAAAGGTAG